TCAGTGAAATACTTTTTGTTTTGAAATCATCATCCAGGAGAAGTTTAAGTAAGGACTAATGAGTGTTAAAGTGGACGAATACTATTTGCAGTAGGAGGATATGCTGGAGACCACAGAACAGGGAAGGTGTTCAGTAGCCAGAGCCCTGTGACTGCTGTTGGTAACTTCTGGTATAGATAAGAATATTGCCAAAATTAATATGATTTATAAGTGCATACTAGGCATACTTATAATAAAAACCATTCCCACATCCTAGCAGCAGCTCAGCACAGTGATCTACAGATGCCTGCAGTAAGGGAGAGGGAAGTTCATTTGCTATCAAAGGAGGGACTCTGCATCTGAGAGCTGCCCCTCCTTCTCTCATTACAGCCTTCTGGTAAAAGCAAGGGAGCACACACTAATCTCACCAAAGATTTTATATAACATTATTTTATATTATATTTATATTATATTTTATATAACATTATCTGGCACGCAGACAGCAGAGGCCTCTCTATTTCACTGCAGATTCTTGTGTGTGTGGGCCTCAGAGGACAAGACCTAGTCCTTTCTAGATCTAGGTCTTGTCCCCCTTTTCTCCTCCATGAAGGGGATGAGGATACCAGGTGTGAGACCTCAGCTCCTCCATAAAGGTACTGTGGACTAAATTATTGCTTGAACTGTGGGTACAATGCCCACTGCAGCAGCTCTCTTTCCATGCTGCAGCTCACTAAACCTGCGCTGAGTTTAATAATTTCCATTCCCTTCAGGACAGAGTCAACCCTGGAGAACTGCAAAGGGAAGAGAATCTTGCTGGCAGAAATGGGAGATACAGTCTTCAAGATGGTATCTTCAATTCAGGTGCCAACACCCCAGTTGAAATTGATGGAAACCCAGATCCCTTCTTCAAAGAGATAATTATACAAAAAGAATAATAATAAAGAAAATACTATGATAATTATACAAAAAGAATAATAATAAAGAAAATACTATTACTGTCTTCTGCAGGACAAGGTGGGGAAATTTTGTGAAAAAAGAAAAAATCTGGTCTTGCATCAGTGCTTACTGTATGGTTAGAGGTGTAGTGGCAGGCATGTTCCTGAAGCTTTGGCCCAGGAAGCCTTCCTTTATTTTCTGCACTCACACTGGGCTTGACTGCATTCTGCCTGTGGGAGCATTACCATGTGTTGTATCACTAGATTTTTCAGGTTAATTTTGCTGCTTAGTTTTCCTCCAGGAGTCTTCAGAGGTCTTTATTTTTCCTGTCTCCCTGATGGAAAGGAGATAGCTAGTGACACTTCCACTCAGGTTAGGATGAACAAATCCAGCAATGGGGATGTGTTCAAGGGGCTGGCAAAGGCTGGGAAGCTTTTCCTGGTTCATGAGAGCCGCTGGCAGCACCTGATGCACCACTGGCCTAGCCCAGCTTTTGCAGCCACTGTCACAGAAAACTAAGAAAATTAATTGTGGGTTTGGGTTTTTTTTTAAGCTGCCTTCTTTGGGTGACATTAAGTACAGGGGTTAGAGGTGGGTGTTAAAATACTCTCCTGGTTCTGGAGCTTTTTCACAGGGGCTCAGATAAGGTGGGGGAGTTTCTTGTGATCGGTGCCGATTGGTGAATAAACTCAAATATACTGTGTGGCTTAACCACAGGGACCTGTTTTCTTTCTCTGCCGGAAACACCTGTCAAAAATGCTGTGTTCACTTGGGCTGTATAAAGAAAAGCCCCAAATGGAACTTCCAGCCTTATAGCATACCAAGTGAGGTGATACTCAATACACTGGTTTAAATTCAAAGCATCTCACTGTGCCAACTGGATATGAAAAAAATTATGGCTCTTAATTAAAAGAGAATAAAGGAACTAATGATGCATAATTACCAAAGAAATACCTATCACTCTTACTAAATTGGCTAAATTACAAGAAGACTATGATTGCACTCAGAGTCTGAAACTAAATACGTGTGGAGAGTCTCTCTTACATGGGGAGAGTGATTTATGATAACAGAAACAGAAGCTGAGGGCAACTGAGGACCTGAGGTTTTCTTAACCTCAGGCAGTAAGATCTGCCTGGTCCTTCACCCAAAGAGCCACCTATTGGGCTGTGGGGTTGAGTTCCCCTGGAGACAGGCAATCCAGTTGCTGTAGTAACTTCTGTGGTTCAGCTGACTGAAAGTGTCCAAAAAGCTGCTGGTCCCCAAGTAATGCATCAATGCATACTGGCACCTGACCAAGGCTCCCTGATGACCATGCCAGTGGATCCAGATTCATATTCATGAATATGAGCAAGATGACTGGGACAAGGCCTCAGCATCACAGCGTGCTAATGCTGCAACAGCTTGTAGTAAAGCTGTAGAAAGGGAGCTACCAAATGTATGCCAGGGAATTAACAGATTGATGTCTACTATCACAGCTGTTTCTGCAGAGGGAGCTTCTTCTAACTAAAGATCCTCTTGGAAACTAGCTAGAGGACTGAGCAGTGCAGTATGGTGCTGGCTGTTTTCTGAACATCTAGTTGTCAGCTTGTCCAGTAGTGTCCTCAACACACAGCTGCAAAGCACTACACAGGATGCTATTTCTTCAAACATCCTTATGTATGAAAGCTGACACTCAACCTTGTTATAATGATGCTTCTCAGGCACTAGTCATTTAACCTGTGTTAAAAGTCTAACAAGTGCATCAATTACAGAGTGAGTGTTATTTATGTTAGCTATCTCTTTTTGTCCTCTGCCACTTTTGAACTGAGTAGGGTCAACTTTGGTGTGTTCAGATTTCAATTAAAGGCTACTTTTGGTCAGTATCTAGGTTTGATACATCCTTTCAAGAGGAATCAGTGAAGGATACTATGAATTGTCAAGGGGAAGGCTTATAAGGAGAGTGAGACTTCAGCAGCAATAGGTGAGGTTGCACACAGCTGCAATGGAACTGCAGTTTGGACAACAGAGTAACTACACTGCTGGTGTCACATGATCACCAGCTGTCAGCTTTACCTCTCATCACACTAGACAGCAAAAAAAATGTAGGCTTGAATCAAGTTACAGTGCCACCACTGCAACGAATGGCCTTTGACCAGGGTGTAAAAAAAAAAACCAACCTAGAGAAGTTTTTGAAAGAAATCACCATTTAATGTAAGATTATACAAGGTCAAAGTGCAATTAGAACAAACATGCTTAACACCATGTGCACTGCCCCACAAGCCCCAGATTTAAAACCATGACACTTCATTCTTAAAATCACCACAGATGTGAAGTCACCTTCTACTTGTTCCACCCATTCTCTCTAACTTTACAGAGTACTGAAAATTTAGTTTGTATGAAGTATAAAATTTGTGCATTGCAGAAGATACCCTCTACTATGAAAGTGCAACAGATAGACAGTCTTTTTCAGAATTTTCACCACCACCTTGCCATTCTATTAATCACTTTGAGGAAATACCCATTAGATACTCCTAATTAGTGTTCCCCAGCCAGAAGGAATGCACCCCATACTGGTTTGGAGGAAGTCCAGAAAATCTTAGACCAGAGCAGAAAACAGTGAGGAACTCCCTCTTTGTCACAGCCATACCATTCAAATGCACAAAGAGAGGGCCCTCTCCTCGTGGCCGCACTGCCACGTAGACACGGAGAGCTTCGACAGGGCATACCCACGTCTCTTGACATAGTCTCAGTTGGATCAAACACCTCTGTTGGCCCACATGAGATGGATGCAGAAAAAGGGTTGCGCTTCCTTCTGTCAGCCAGAGGTCACTCAAGTACAGGAGCTCTGGCTGTACTATATTTTGGTGATTTACCACTATCTCTTCTATATGGAGCACGCCAAAATAAGCTACAGTAAAAATGGCACGGAACAGCATACACTCATAAGGACAGCTACACACAGACTCCAGAGTTCCCAGGAGAGATCTTAACACTTCAATTGTTACAGGAGAGAATTCATCATTTGAATGGCGAGTCCGAGTCCTGTGTTTCAGCCTTGACATCATGAAACAGATAAGAGGATCTGGAAGAGGATCAGGATGATCTACCATTCTGGAGATGAAGGACAGTCCTTCCATATACATTATTATTTTTGTGGGAGGCAGATCCTGGGACTCCATGGTGACCAGAAACTCTCTAATTTGTTCAATTGGAATTGGCCAGACTGCAGATAGAGCCTTGCCTTCTCTAAAGGAAAGGAAGTTTTCCAGGCCTTCATGGTAGACCTGCCATAAGTGCCTCTCTCTCGAGTCCTCCAGTAACAGCAGAGCCTTCAGGGGACAAGGGCCCAAGGAATGCTTCTCAGGAACCTGGCTGGGCTTATCTGCTGAAAGAAAACCATGTTAGTAATGGCAAGCAAAAGCAGATAGAAGTTCCCTCCCTTTCAACACAGCCTTTACTTGAACTTTTCCGAATAAAAGCCTGTCCTATGCATTCTTATGACTGCAGAGTTTCCAGCAGCTAGAACACTGGAGAAGGATTACATTCTCAAAACCCATAAACCCCCATCTTTTAGTCTTTTTAAAGCACCGTCTCAAGCCTGGTGACAGATCTGACTCCCTATTGTAAGGTTTCTGTGACCTCAGGCCTCCATCAGTGGGCAGGAGTGGCTGGGAGTGACAAAGGCACCGCAAAGTAACAGTATATCCAGGAGTGCACAGAGGTCTCAGAAGCCTTCCAGCAGTGTAGTCAGACCACATGGAAGAACCTGGCAGGACTCTACTCACCTCCCCCCCGGCAGTCAGCCGCCCCGCCAAGGGCACACTCACCAGCTCCTTCCCCGCTGCCAGCCTCCGCTCCCCTGGTCCCACACGGACCATCCGGACCGCACGGCAGCCACCCCATGCCGGGCTCCCCCCGCAGCCGTGCCAGCAGAGCCCAGAAGGGTGAAGGGGCAGAGGGCTGCTCAACCCTTCTCTGCATCACCAACAAAATAGCAGCCACGCGGTGAGAACCACGAACAGCCAACTCCTCGACCGTGCCGCCCTTTTACACCCTGGCCGTCTTTTCCGAATTGGAACGCCCCCTTTACGTGCCCTTCTGCGACCCTATCGGAGCCTGAGGGTCCGTGTGGGGGTGCTCCCATCCTGTCCCCTCCGCTCCTCACGGCTCTGCGGGGGAGTTACCTGCACCGGGACTTCCAGGACCTGGAAACTGCCTAAATGGCCCATTATCGCCTCCATTGTGCTGCATGAGAGGGCGAGAGAAGGAGATGGAGCTTCCCCGGGTGATTTAACCTGTTCGTCCCTGGTCCTGTTCCCCTCCCCTGCCACAAACCTGTGCTATTTTGTTGCTAAAAGGAGAGAGCCGGCAGCAGGGGGAAGTACAAACGCGCTACAGGTCTCTACGACGGCCAGGAGTAATGGCCAAACCTTGGGCGAGAGGAAGCTCCCGGGGAAGGACCCGCCCGGGTCCCTGTACGGCTTTCTTCAAAGGGAGAGACCAAAAGCTCAAGCTGTCGGCTGAGGAACCTGCTAGCTTTGCTTTTTTTCTTAGGGTTTTTCTGGGATAGCTACTGGGGAAAGGCAGCTGTGTCGTTCAACTGTGCAGAAGCATCTCAGTGCGTTGCCTGTACTTAACAGAGAAGGAGGGCTGATCAGTAATTCAGAACCCCAAGCTATTCTTTACCAAACCTGGAAACCACGTCTTGAGGAGCCCAGGAGAATATTGGGAGGTAACATAAGTACTTTTATCTGCTTTTGAACCTTATCAGTAAATCCAATTACATTCCAAACTCTGGCAGAATGCGTAATAAACGCCTGGATGTTTCACACATTCCAGCTCTCGGGCCGCGCCCGCTTCCTCTTCCTCCTCCGGACCTCTGGGGCTGTTCCGAGACGAGCTCTGTGAGTGGCCCTCCGGCCATAAAAAGGGTCCCCAGGGCTCATCTCGGGGAGTCTCAGCTCGGTGCTGCGGCTGCTCGTCCTCCTGCCATGGCCTGCACTGCCAGCGCTCCGGCCGCGCCTGCCCACGCTCATTTCTGGGAGATGCTGTCACTGCTGGCCCGGGAGCCGGGTATGGAGTGGCTGGAGCTGAGCCTTGCTGGGCAGGCTGTCACCTCCCCTCCTCGCAGCCGAGAAGCACCGAGGAGAGGTAAGTTCCGGGCCGGGAGCTGCCGCGGGGCACCGCATCGCCCGCGGCCGTGCCTCCTCCCGGGAGGCTCCTTGGTTCTGCTCGGCTTCTTGAGTGAGGATGGAGGGATGTGTCGAGAGAGCTCTCCCTCCTGGGCTGGGAAATAACGAAACCGCCTGGAGAGAGTGTGCTGTGTAACCTATGTTGTTGCAACTTCTGTAAGCTACCCCTTGGTTTAAATATTGCTTTATTTTTGTCTTCTCCGTTGCTACTCTGCAACCTTGTAAATTCACGGAGTGTTGCCACATCCAGCGCCTGAAATGGGCTTGATATGTTGCTTGTTTTTCATTTGAAAAAATATGCATGTGTGTGTGAGCCGTCTGTCAGATAAACTCACAGCATTATCTGGAGGAGTGATGCACTCGGGAGTACTGTCTTTATTGCTGCTTAAGTAGTATGCTTGTGCCTCTGGTCACCGCGTGCTAATGCGGATCTTCTCTTGCAGGAGGAGAGATGAATTACCATCAGCAGCATTCCTTGGGACCTTGGCCTCTGAAGACTTTGTCGTTGTTGGAGCGCTCAGGAGACAGTAGGCTTTGGGAAGCCTACCTCGAAGGACTGAAGAAATTCCTTGTCTTTAGGGAAATCATGGGAATGCCTGCAGCCTGGCCAATTCCAGTGGAGCAAATTAGAGGGTTTTTGGCTGTGGAATCTAACTTTTCCGCCTCGAAGACACTCCTATACATGGCAGCACTTTCTTACTTATCAAAATTGACTTGTAGCTCTGATCCTCTGCAAGATCCTATAACCTGTTGCATGGTGACCGGGTTGAAACGTCGAGTGGGTATCCTGAGGGATATATACTTGCCTATAACAATTGAGATATTGCGATCTCTCTTAGGAGCTCTGGAGTCTGTGTGCATAACTCATTATGAATGCTTACTGTTTCGTGCATTATTTACCGTAGCTTTTTTTGGGGCACTTCGAATAGGAGAGATGGTGGCAAAGCACCGTAATGTACTGCAGCCGGAGCTGCTGTATCTGAGTGATATCCAGCTGATGGCGAGGAAAGTGCTGCTTTTTCTGCCTTACTCTCCTGTGGATCAGGAGAGGCACGTCATCAGCCTAGCGCTGTCCGGAGAGCCATGGGTGTGCCCCGTCCTGGCCCTCCGCAGCTATTTGACAGCTCGCTCGCAGCACGAAGGGCCACTGTTCGTGCACTCGGACTTGAGGTCTGTAACGAAGAGGGAGTTCCTGGCCGTTCTCCGATGTGCCCTGAGCCTGCTGGGGCTGTGTCCGGAGCAGTTCGGCGTGCATTCCTTCTGGATGGGGACTGCCGTCACCGCTGCGCGCTGCGGGTACCCTGGGGAAGATGTCACTCGCCTGGCACGATGGCCCTGTATGATCCCAGGAAGATTCTAACCACGGGCACCAGCAGGAAAATAGAAGCTAGCGAGTCATCCTCTTTATGTAGAGTCATCTTTAGCTGTATAGTTTAGAAGCTAATCAATCATCCTCTTTATGTAGAGTCATCTTTAGCTGTATAGCTTAGAAGCTAATCAATCACCCTCTTTATGTAAACTTTAGCTGTATAGTTTAGAAGCTAATCAATCACCCTCTTTATGTAGAGTCAACTTTAGCCTTTGACAAGAATTTAGTATTAACACTTGAAATTAATTTTCTACCTCACAGTGGGGTGATCCTAAGTTCACTCAGAACTTGTTTGTTCTGTCTGTATTTGAAGGTAAGGGGAATGTTTACCCTTTGTGCATAGACTGTATTTTTATCTTGTATATTTATATTTTTAGCTTTATTATCTTGAGGTAATAAATACTGCCTTTTTAAAAACAACTTCTGCCTATTAGTACTATTGTTGCTCTTTACTCAGAAATCATAATCTTGGCTTTGAGAGCAAAGAATGACAAACTGAGAAAAGTCACTTTTTCATTCTTTGCTCTCAAAGAAAACCTGAGCTTTTAAGGTAATAGTTGTAAAGAGGAAGTAGCCATGATGATTGCTCAAGAATACTGGGAAAATGGATACCTGTCTTATCTGTAATTTGTATGTCTCTGACACATGACGCAGAAAAGAGAATAATTTCTAATTTAATTCTATTTTTAGAATCATTTCTAATTATAATTAGAATTTCTAATTTTTGCCTACACTCTATATCTATAGCCAGAGTTTTGATCTTGTACCCCTCCTAAGTGGAAGTAAAACCTCAGAAGTAGCACCACCTGCTCCTCCTTCCCCACTGACCTGGCTGTCTGCAGAGTTGTTCCTCTCACATATTTTCACCTCACTTTTTTCTGGCTGCAATTACACCTGCACAATAATTTTTTTTCCCTCTTAGATATGTTATCACAGAGTCATTACCACCATTTCTAATTGTCCCAGGCTTGGCCAGCAGCATGGCTCTCCTGGAGCCATTTGGCATTGAAGAAGCTTCTGGCAGCTTCTCACAGAAGCCACCTCTGTAGCCCCCTGCCATAAAACCTGGCCACGTGCACCCAATTAATTTTCATTTTTCATTTTGCTGTTCTAAAGAATAAAAAAAGAATAGGTAATAAGAAGGGTATTTACTTCAAGGTGTAAAATGGGGAACTATTTCAACCCACATTTTTCCCTACCATGTTAATTAACGGTTTCAAGCATTTTTATCATGTTAATGGTGAAAGGCTAAGCATACTGTCTCTAGAAAAAGCTGAAAACTCTTGTACTACTGATGACTCTACTACTCTACTACTTCTACACACTATTGTGGGAATTCACTGTATTATGTGCAGATACTGGTAAATCATTCATGTGGAACTCAAACTCCTAAAATTTCTAGAATTTATAATTGTTAATTTAAGCTGTTAGACCCTTCAAGAACATAGGGGAAGTAATAGAATAATAGAATCACAGACTTGCTTGTGTTTAGTCCTTAAAGACCACCCAGTTCCAACCTCCCTGCTATAGACAGGGACACCTTTGGTAACTTGACCAGGTTACTCAGAGCTCCATCCAGCCTTGAACACCTCTGGGAATGGGGCATCCACAACTTCTCTGGGGAAACTCTGGGAGTATCTTACCACTCTCAAAGTAAAAAAAAAATCCTAATATCTGATCTAAACCTACTGTCTTTTAGTTGGATCCATTTCTGATTGTTCTGCCACTACATGTTCCTGTAAAAAATCCCTCTCAATCTTTATTTTAGGCTCCATCCAGGTACTGGAAGGACACAACTAGGTCACACCTAAGCCTTCTCTTTTTCAGGCTGAACAACCCAATTCTTTAGCCTTTCCTCATAGGAGAGGTGCTCCATCCCTCTAACCAACTTGGTGGCTCTCCTCTAACAGGTCTGTGTCCTTCCTGTGCTGGGACCCCAGAGCTGGTGCAGCCCTGCAGGTGGGGTCTCAGCAGAGCAGAGCAGAGGGACAGAATCCCCTCCCTGGCCCTGCTGCCCACGGTGCTCTGGATGCAGCCCAGGACACGTTTGGCTCTCTGGGCTGGGAGTGCCCATGGCTGGGTCATGTCCAACCTCTCTGCCAGCAGCATCACCAAGTCCCCCTCAGCAGGGCTGCTCTGGATCTGTTCATCCCCCAGCCTGTGTTGAGACCAGGGTTTGTCCTGACTGAGGTGCTGCATCCTGTACTCGTTAAACCATGAGGTCCACTTCTTGAGCTTGTCCAGACCTCTCTGGATGACCTTGGGTCCCTTGGGAGTCTCAACAGCACCAGTCAGCTTGGTGTCATCTGTAAATTTGCTGAGGGTGCACTCAATCCCTTCATCTATGTCATTAATGAAGATATTAGATAACACTGACCCCAATAAGGATCCCTGAGGGACACCCCTGAAGGGCACACTGATGTCCATCAGGACTCTGAGCCATTGACCACTACCCTCTGGATGTGGCCTTCCTATCAATTTCTTATCCATCTAACAGTCCACCATCAAATCCATCTCTCTCCAATTTAGAGAGAAGGGTGTTGTGGACTAATCAGGTCCCATAGACTTATTTGTGTTCAGGTTCTTCAGGTGGTGATAAACTTGATCTTCTCTTACAAGCGCTCTGCTTCCCCAGTCCCCCTCCTGCTGTCTACCTGCTCAAGAGGTGTGGGAAGAAAGGCTGATATTAGAGACTGAAGCAGAAAATTTGTTGAGTACCTCAGCCTTTTCCTCATCCATTTCTACCAATTTTCTAACATTGTTTTCAAGGAAGCTACACCTTCTTTGAGGTTCCTTTCCTGGTTTATATATCTGTGCTTAGAGCTTTTTTTAAATTAAAAAAAATCAGAAATTTTTCTTCTACACCTGGTTGGTATGTATTTGATTCCATTCTGATTGTGAAGCTTATATCAAATACATATTCCTTAGAATGACAGAAATAACGTACTTCAGTGCTAATCAAACAAGTGTAAATCTTATGTCCTTATAGAGCTAAAATTTTAATTTTTTTAAAATAGTACTTTAGAATTCATAATCCTAAAAGCAATGAAATTTGAAAATACTTACTTATTTTCATATCTACTGAAAACAAAGTAGATAACAAAATATCTGCCAGGCTTCACACTAGGATCCATCAGTATATCTTGCTTGCAGAATGAAAGCATCCTCTGCTAGTCTGACTAAGCAGTGTTCAGTGTCCTTTGACAGCCAAGACACAAGTCCAGAAAATGGAGAATAAATAGCCAAATGCCTTTAAACCTTTTACAGTTTTCTTTACAGTGGTTACATGGAAAGTTATTTGTGCTATAAAAAGTGTTGAGAAGACTTTTTGAGACAAACTGCTCATGTAAGCAACTATGTCTCACATACTTGTTTCTTTATCTGTAACCAACACCTGAAGTATAGCTAGGAGAAGAGAACCCTTGTAGACTGAGGTGTTGCACTGATTTGCTGCTTGAAACATCCCCAAAGTGCCTTTTACATACCTACCCACAAGTCTTTGTTGCCTTGACTTCTTCCTTCTACTTGCTTTCAGACATGTGATATTTCATCAGTTGTGATGTTAGCTGCACATTGAAGAGACTTGGTCATTCCTCCCCGTATTCCTCTAGCAAGGAGAACACTGCCATTCTGCAGCAGCTGTAGTAGCAGCATGCTGGGCACCACATACCAGAGCTCTGCTTACCCTGCTCGTGCTCGTGCTGTTGGAGATGCTTCATTTCATATTCTCAAGTCATTCCTCCTCAGGAGGCCTGTAATTACTAATGTTGCAGACTTAGAAACTGTATAGAATTTGAAACTACATGTATTTTAATATATCTAAAGGAAAGCCAGTGTTTTTCAGTCAAGGTAGGTGAAAAAGGCTGTTTTGGATTGTTGTGATGCAAGTTGGCCAGAAGTATTAGTGTAGTGCCAAATGCACCAATTGCTCACTGAACCATCTCTTCCAGTGAGATCTCATAATGTGTTGCTGTCTTGCTCTCTGAGGCTGTGTATTCACTGTCATGTCTTGCTTAACCACACCAGCTACCTAAATTGCCTTGAAATACTGGCAGAAGAGAATGACAGAACAATGTGTATCATAAATCCTATGCTTTTTTCCTTATGTATATCTTTCCACCAAGAACAAATCAATTATCCATCAGAGTCCAGCAGAGACCGTACCTCAATTATTAAAACCATTGAATAAGAAGTAGCTGTCTCGTATGGCAATGTAATATGCTCCTTTTGTTAGAGCCCAGGATTAAAGCAAATATGGAATTGATTGTTAAAATTGTTCCGTGTTCTAGGAATATTCTTATATTAAGTCTTTGCTACTAGTTTAAGGAACTGGTTCTTGTACTTTTATACACATTTCCCAGAAGCTACAATAACTGCAGGATGATTGTAGGATAGTCTGACTTCTCATATCTCTGTTATGGCTATAAACCACACTAATCCCTCTTGCATTTTATCCAACATTTGTTCTGTTTCAGAATAAAAATACACTTCCTTAAGCTAAAGGCAGCTGAGCAATTGGCGAAGATACTTCACAGCCCCCTGCCAATTATTGGCAAGCAAGGAGCAAATGTTTTCCAAAGCACACAAACCAATCAGATATGATATGTGGTTATAGTAATAATTTAATGTTAAAGCACTTTTTTTTTTTTTCCCCTTAACAGCTTTTATACCTCATATCACCTTCCACAGTACTTGAAAAATAGCAGCTATTTAAGCGTGTAAGATTCAGGTCAGTATTATAGGCTAACACTTTTAGATGGCAAATCCTATGTCTTTATTGGCAAAAAAAAAATGCTTTTTCAGCCCACTCAGCCAAAGGAAAGATGTTCCTTGGTGCTGACTCCCTGTATTAACTTATTTTTTCACTTTGGAAGTACTTAATTTCAATACATTTGTTATGGGTTGAAAAGAAGAAAACAATATCAAGTCTTGAGACAACTGCTTGGAATTTTGCTGATGAAAACTGACAGTGTGAATACAGCCTATCTTAACTGAGCCATTGTGCTTAGAGATACTTAAGAAAAGGGATGTTGTATTCAGCTGAAATGGTGGTGCTTTGTTCCCAAGATAAGATGACTTTCTTGTGCCAGAATGAGTGTAGCTGCAGACTTTGAATAAATCAGCAGGTTTACTAAAATGTTTTGCTGAAGAGGAAATATTTTTGCTTAAACTATAGCATAATGTCCACTGCTAGGACATTTTAAAGAATGTCAGTACTCATGTACCATAAGATGTTTCAGTAGCTAAACTCATGATTTATCAAAAGTTCTTTTCCCTCAGGGATGAGTAGTTGCTGCTTGCTTTATCCCACAGGGAGGTTTGTTTGGGCTTAAATGCATTGTGGTAATTTAGAGTTGTGTTCTTCCCCACGTAGTTGTGCTGTATTTTGTGTTGCAGGGTGGATGTGAGCTTACCAGGAA